CAGGACAGAAGGGAAGAGGGGATAAGCCCCAACCCCACACCCTGGCTGGAGCGGAGCAGGGTAAGCCCCGAGGGGATGGGTCTGGTTGCAAAGTGGGTGAGTGGACAATGAGGACCCACCTGTGGCTAAACTCCTGTTCGCAACACAGAATTTTTCTTTAAAATTAATCCTGTGGATAAATTCACACCCACACTTCACAGGAAGGGATTTCCATTTTCTGCTCAGCAGAATACAACAACAGCTTTGATTGTATCAATATTTCACTGTGCTCTGCAATGACTATTGATTACACTTAATACCCATTTCACTGAACCATCTGTAGCAAATTCTATTTGGAACAGTAATATGCATTGAATAAACTTTTTTTAGTTATAAAAAACAAAGATTCTGACTATTAAATGAATAACTGGGATCTTTCAGGTACCCCAAAAGGAAGATTTGGATATAGCATGAAACACTGAAACTTATGATCAATTTTTAATTAAAATATCAACCAAAAAAACCTTCATATCAAAACAGTATATGTTTTTCTTAGAATAAGGAAGTTGTATGAGAATCAGGGTCTTTTCCACCTAACTCCAGATCCCTGTCCCCCCCCCCCCAAATATGTACCAGTTCCGACTTACATACAAATTCAACTTAAGAACAAACCTACAGTCCCTATCTTGTACGTAACCCGGGGACTACCTGTAATTGCCTATATATAAATCCATGGTACACCCACATCTTGAATACTGCATGCAGATGTGGTTGCCTCATCTCAAAAAAAGATATTTTGGAATTGGAAAGGTAAGAAAATGACAATAAAAATTATTAGGGCTATGGAATGCCTGCCATTTGATGGATGTTGTAAAGGCAAAGACTATAATAAGGTTCAAAAAAGAGCTAGCTAAATTCACAGAAGCTAGATCCATCAAAGGTTATTAGCCAGGATGGGCAGGAATGACGTCCCTACCCTCTATTTTTTGGAAGCTGGGAATGAGTGACAGGTGGTGGAACACTTGATGATTACCTGTTCAGTTCATTCCCTTTGGGGTACCTGGCATTGGCCACTGTCAGAGGACAGGATACTGGGCTAGACAGACCTTTGGTTTGACCTAGTATCACATTCTTATCTCATTGTTTGCTGTGCTTGGGTGTTCTAACCCTTTCTCTGCCCTGTACTTGTCTATATCGATTTTAAGCTTTTGGGGACAGGGACTGTCTGCCACTCTGTGCAGTGCCTGGCACAAAGGGGGGGCCCTGTTCTTCCTTAATAAGTTCAGCATGTGTGAGAGCAAACACAATTTCAATTGAGGTTATAGTCTAGGATAATAAGACCATCTACTGCATCACGCTAGAGCTTTTTTTAGGTTATAAACTCTTGGGACAGGGATTTATCACTTGGTTTTCTTTAAGTAGCATGCCTTTGTAACCCACAGTCTAGTTATGGGCCCTCCAGTGTGCCAAATTCCCAGAAGATATGTATTTGCTATGGTTCTGCCTGGTGAGACTTGATTCTTTAGTCCAAGGCATTGCAAGCTCAGGCTTGTAGCCGTGGAGGTCACCAGTTCAGTCTCTGATTTGTTGGCCAAGATGGTTGGGGGATGTCACACTTACAGGTGTCACAATAGCTGTAGTAACCATATTCGAAAATAGAAACTAATATCATTATTTTCTTCTCAGATGTGACCATAATCTTTTTAATTGATATTTTTATAGGTCAAGTTGTTTTTTGAATCTGTGAAGGAGGAAGTGTCACAGCTCAGAGCACCCCATACTGCAGTGGAGAATATTGAGAAGAATATTAAATGGCTGGAGAGAAATTTAGTTACATTAAGGAAATGGATATTAGAGAATCTTTAGTAAAGCTGCTTGAGATCAGATGAAAGAGTGCGCTACTCCATGCTTTAAAATAACACATTTATACTCAAACTAGATTTTTTCCCTCAAAACATGAGCATAATTGCTGTAGAACTTTACTGAACATCAGTCTTATTGAATTATGCAGTTCATTTAATGAAAATGTTCCTGACATCTGATCATTTATTTTTATGAAATGTGGGTTGCTATGTTTACATTGGTTTTGTGTTTGTCTTCATATGTGATTCTGTTTGGATATTTAGGTGTTTATGCCAATTGAAGGAATTGCTATAGACTTGGAAGAGCATGTGTGTGCATGCACAAGTATGTGCATTTTTAATTTTACAAGCGTGTAAAATTAACTTTTGACATCCCAGGTTCTATCACACACGTAATTTATGCCTTCTGTTACTTTTCGTAACAGCTGTAAAGAACCTAGCCCTGCCACTGTGTGCATAACTTATTGTGAGTTATATTTTTTTCTGTTCTCTAAAAAAGCTTTCTTGGCAATAAAAGAAATGTATACGAGAAAATGCTGTGTAAGGTTCATGATGGATGAGAACAACTTAGTTTTTTTAAATCCTTACAATAAGCATATTTCTACTCTTTTTAGACTCCTCTAACATAGAAATTGCCTGTCTCTTAAGTAAATCACAAATCAAAGACTTTTTTAGGAGACCAAAATATTTCACAGGTATGGGAGAAACGTTCAGCTATGAAACAAACAAAATACTGTTGTGTGTTTAAATAATATTGGAGACTGTGCTATGGAACAAATTGCTTTATTAAAAATCAAACCTTAAGAATGACATCCTTTGGGAAGCAAATTTAGGATCCTTTTTAAAGGCTTTTAGTTGGCATTCTCTCTTTCAAGGCCCAAGATTTAATGAGTGACTCCAAACCATACTGCTGTGCCAGGCCCACTGGATAACAGAGATTGTCACCCAGATCTTCAAAGTTATTTGGATGCCTATCTATCGTTGAAATCCATAGTTAGGTGCCTAAATACTTCTGGGGTTCTGGGCTTATGTCCTGAACTGTCATGTGCATTCATGGGGGAAATTAGGAGAAGTTGTAGGTTGTGAGGATGGGGAATCTGCAATTGTCTATGATACAGGGGACCATGTCTTAACTTAAAACATACGGAGAATCATCACTCCCGAACACTGTGTCCGCACATCTTATAGTTCCTACTTCTAGTGTGGCACTGGACTATGAGCAGTAAACAGCGCTATAGCAGTACAACTTTCAAACTTGCCCTGACTGAGCTGCGGAACTGCCATGAGCTGGTGACTCCTGTGACTCTAATAGAGAAGCATTGTCTGAATGAGTCCTCTTCTCAGATCTGTTTTACTGGGTTTCCCTGAGGGAAGGTTGGCATCTTTCTTTTTGTACAAAGTCAAACACATTGTTCATAATTAAAAATAAACAAATAAATAAATAATTCCAGTGTGATGTATTTAATTTGCTTTGTAGATGCTGAACTTGGAAATACTGGCTAGTTTGGGTTGCAGATTAGTTGTTTTATTTTCAAGACAATCATTATGGGCTACTGATTTCTTGAAAGAAAAGTTCTTGCACTTAATACTTCTTAATAGACAAAAATATACTTGTATGTGGTATATGAAAACCATATTTCAATATGAAATGGTTCATATTGTCTGGATTAGTTTTCCTCAGAGCCTAGAAATTCCTTAGAGATGTATGGCAACAGTAGTGAAATCAGTTATTACTGAAGGCTGGTTTTGATTTTTTTCTATTGTACGTTTCTGATCTGAGGCTGCTATTACAAGAATACCCCGCTATGCTCAGACCAAAGGTCCATCTAGCCCACTATGCTGTCTTCCAACAGGGGCAATGCCAGGTACCCCAGAGGGATTGAACAGAAGAGGGAATCAGCAAATGATCCATTTCCTGTTGCCCATTCCCAGCTTCTGATAAACAGAGGCTAAAGACAGCATTCCTACCCATGCTAGCTAATAGACATTAATTGACCTATCCTCCATGAATTTATCTTGTTCTTTCTTGAACCTTGTTAAAGTCCTGGTCTCCACAACCTCCTCCGGCAAGGAATTCCACAGGTTGACTGTGCACTGTGTGAAGAAATACTTCCTTATGTTTGTTTTAAACCTGCTACCTATTAATTTCATTTGATGGTCTTCTAGTTCTTGGGATATGGGAATAAGTAAATAACTTTTTCTTATTTTGCTTTTTCAACACTAGTCATAATTTTATAGACCTCTATCATACCTTCCCCATCTCCTCTTTTCTAAGATGAAAAGTTCCAATTATATTAATCTCTTCATATGGCAGCTGTTGTAAACCCCTAATCATTTTTGTTGGCATTGGAAAAAGTTCAGGAAATGACAAAGTATCTTTTTTAAGATGATGCTACCACATCAAATGCTTTACTATAGGTAAAATATTGAGGAGAGAAACAAGACATTACAAGCCAAAGGAATCTCTCTTGTATTGGAGGTAGCTCCCATTGCTGATACTACTGAAGAAATAAAACAACTTAGAAATCAGCAGTCCAAAATTCTACAGGAAGCATGTTTTATAGCGGAAGACTATAGAACACTAGAACTGGAAGAGATCTCAAGAGGTCATCAAGTCCAATCCCCTGCCCTCATGGCAGGATCAAGCACCATCTAGATCACTTCTGATAGATGTCTATCTAATCTCTTAAATATCTCCAGTGATGGAGATTCCACAACCTCCCTAGGCAATCCTAATGGCCAACCTAAACCTCCCTTGCTGCAATTTAAGCCCATTGCTTCTTGTCTAATCAGAGGTCAAGGAGAATAATTTTTCTCCCTCCTCCTTGCAACACCTTTTTAGGTACTTGAAAACTGTTACCATGTCCCCCCTCAGTCTTCTCTTTTGCAAACTAAGCAATCCCAGTTCTTTCAGCCTTTCCTCATAGCTCATGTTTTCTAGACAAGTGTTTCTCAACCACTAGTACGAGTACGCTTAGGGGTACTTGAGAGAAGTTGTGGGGGAGGGGTACATCAACACAACTGAAATTTGGGGAAAACTGAATTTTTGTTTTAAGTTTTACAGCGTTTTATTATTTTTGTACTTTTTACACCCAAAAATTTCTTCGCCCGCCCAGCTACGATTAAGTTGCTTAAACAAATGTCTTGCAATGGTAGAAAAAAAATTTGTGTCTGAAAACTGCAGGTACCAGAGGTACTTATTTTTTTTCTTAAAAAAGGGGTACTTTATATATAAAAAGGTTGAGAAACACTGTCCTAGACCTTTAATCTCTTTTGTTGCTCTTCATTGCTCTCTCCACATCTTTCTTGAAATGTGGTGCCCAGAACTGGACACAGTACTCCAGCTGAGGCCTACTCAGCGCAGAGTAGAGCAGAAGAATGACTTCTTGTGTCTTGCTCACAACACACCTGTTAATGTATCCCAGAATCATGTTTGTTTTTTCTGCAACAGTGTCACCCTATTGACTCATATTTAGCTTGTGGTGCACTATGACCCCTAGATACCTTTCTGCAGTACTCTTCCTAGACAGTCACTTCCCATTCTGCATATGTAAAACTGATTGTTCTTCCTAGGTGGAGTACTTTGCATTTGTCCTTATCAAACTTCATCCTATTTACCTCAGACCATTTCTCCAGTTTGTCCAGATCATTTTGAATTTTGACCCTATCCTCCAAAACACTGGCAACCCCTCCCAGCTTTATATCATTTGCAAACTTAATAAGCATACTCTTTATGTCAATATCTAAATCGTTGATGAAGAAATTGAACAGAATGGGTCCCAAAGCTGATCCCTGCAGAACCACAGTAATTACGCCCTTCCAGCACAACAGTGAACCATTCACAACTACTCTCTGAGAATGGTTATCCAGCCAGTTATGCACCTACCGTATAGTAGCTCTATCTAGGTTGTGTTATTTGCTTATATTCATCCTTTGTAATTAGACCTATTTTCCACTTTTTATATGACTTCTTTTTTATTTTTAGATCATTTAAGATCTGGTTAAGCAAAGGTGGTCTCTTGCCATACTTCCTATCTTTTCTACTCGGTGGATTTTATATTGGAATTTCGACACTATTGCCCAAGAAATGAGGAATGAAATGGAAAAGATTTCATAAGACATCTGAGCCTGAGGAATCGTGTTCTACCATATCTGAAAATGAACCAGACTCTTTATTCTGAAGGAATGTTTTTGATGCAACTCTGGACAATGTCATGGGTGGTTGGCATCCTAGGCGGGGAAGGAACAGTCTTTCCAAACCGCCAGCCTGGTCCTGCCCACACTCTACCTCAAGAACACCTACTATAGGTATACTGGGGAGGGAGTGTTTCTGCCCCCAAGCTTCAGGGCCAAGTAGGCTGGAGCCACACGCTGCCCCACCTCCCCAGTGCTCCAGGGCCTCTCCTCTCTCCATGGTTGGGGTGGCAGAGAGATGGCTTGGCTCCTGTGGGAGGGGAGAGGGAGCTCAGCTGGAGGTGGGGCTGGGAGCTTCCAGTCCTATCTTCACCTACTGCCCATGGATAACATCATCTGCTAATTACAGCACAGATTCAACACAACCAGTAATATTTGTTTTACATTCTGTTCAGTCCTAAAATATGTGATGTTAGAACCTGGGGAACTGGAAGAAGCTTCTAAATGTTAACTTCATAAGTATCCTGCGTATCTTTCTGAGATATTTCCTTGTGAAATGTTGCACTTGAGAAAAAAAATCTTCGTGTACTTCAAAGAATATGAAGTATACTCCCACTTATTAAATGATATTTACAAAAAACAACTGCAATTCATTTCCAGTAAAGTTTGCATAGCCTGTACTTTTTGCACACTGCCAGTGACTGTGGCAGAAGCTAAAAGAAATTTCAGCAAGCTAGTATTCATCAAAACCTGTAGGCATTCTACAATGGGGCAAGAACAGTGAAGCCATCAAGCTACCTTGTCTAGTGATTGTGAACTTAAGAGATATTGACTTTGGGGAGCTAATTCATGATTTTGCAATGAAAAAGGCCAGAAAAATAATTCTTCAAATTTAATTAGCCTAATTAGAAAATATGGTTCATTAGAATAAAAAAATCAAGAAATCAACACTCAAAGTTACAAAATAGTCATCAAACTTGCAGGACTCTCAGGCTGGATGTTATGTTAAACAAAAATAGAAAAAGGGTATTTTTCAGTAATTTCAGAGTAAAACCTCTTCCATGGCTGATAAGATTGTATGTAAGGGATGAGGGATCATGATATGTGAGTGTGGAGGGGGCCCATGTTACAAGTTTGTACAGGGCCTGAAAAAATTATACTTGGGCTGGGTTAATTGTGATAAATGATCAGTATGAGCTGTATTTGGTGAACATAATCTTGAAACCTACTGGTGACTGACTCCGAATGAAAACAAAAGTGAAAATAAAGACAGCACAATTCAAGCCTGCAGAGGGAAATGGGAGACAGTGGTATACAGACGTTTCTGTGCATTTGCTTCTTTTAAAAAAAAACTAAAGCTGTTTTTGCAGGAAAGGTACCGTGATCAGACAGAAACATTCCAAAAGGATCATGTAAGAGAGCTGGGGGCGGGGGGGTGAGGAAGGGCTGTGCGTGGGAAAGAGGATTCATTCTGTGCTTGAAGAAGAAGCTGTTAGTAGAAACTACCTGTAATAACTTTTCTGCTCTTAATTATTTTCATTACAGTCGTCAGCCATCTTTTAAACAATGTGGTGTATGCACCACACAGAAATATTCTATTTTTCAGTGATTTAATATTTATTTTGGCCTGTTTTTTTTAATTTAAGATAATATAAACAAATCATATTTTAAAAATGTGTGTTCCGTTTTTATTACAGTCTTATTTTAGGAAGTTTATTATTTACAGAGCTCTAGAATTCTCTTTTGTAACTTTCTAAACTTTTATGAAGGGGCCCTCCAATCAGTTCCCTGTAGCTTAACTTTGATAAAGGGGACAAGGGAGCAATTTGGTAAGAAGAGTAACAGTTTCATAGACAGGCACCAATGACAATTTTAGCAGTTGTAGGCCGTACAAGCAGTCTGGTATGCAGCTGCTAAAATTACACCACTAAATAAAGACCTGCTGTGAGAAACGATTTGCTTCTGTTAGTACCTTATTCCACAAACCCTGTCTCTTAAGAGGAAATAGATGTGCGAGTTCTTGGCCCCTGCAAATATAATACCAGACAAATGCAAAAATTTTCTGCCTCATATGCTGACCTTCAGGACCTGCTGTGAGCTGTAGATTTTTAGGAAAGCTGACAATAAAGCAAGTATCAAAGGCAGGTTGGCAAAATGGGGAATTGTTTTTTTTCTTGCTACATCATTTTTTATATAAACATTAACCACATAGTATTTTTATTTTGATATATTGATTTAGGTTTCAATTCAGCAAGGTAACTTGAGCAAGTATCTAACTTCAACCACATAAATAGTCCCTGGATGAAATGGGGCTTTATTGTATTTTCAAACAATTGTCTGAGGCATTTCAGGTACATCGGCAGTGTGATGAAAGACCCTGTTGTAGCTGTGGCTGGTCTGGGTCAGCTGGCTTGGGTTGGTAGGGTTTGGGCTGTGGGGTTATACGGTTACAGTGTAGACTTTCAGGTTTGGGCTGAAGCCAAGCTCTATGCTCCAACCTAAGCTCAAATGTCTACACCACAATTTAATAGGCCTACAGGCAAGCCCCTTGAGCCTAAGTCAGCAGACACAGATCAGCTGTGGGTCTTTTATTTCAGTGTAGATATACCCACACATTTTAAGTACCTGTTGTCATTTTAACCATTTAAATACATGTAACCTGAGCCATCCTTGTCTGTGTGTTTTGTGCAGAAAGCTTGATTATTACTGCTAAAGATTTAACAAGTAAGGCTGACTTTTCTTAGTTAAGATATCTGTTTTATTTTTCTTTAGGTGAGAATTCATTGGGAAACTACATTACTGCCAGTACATGATGCATTCCAAGCAAACAATACTTTCAGGATCTGGAAGTTTTAGCCAGAAGAAGCTACAGTTTTTTCTTTTGTTCTAAGAGGATAATCTTTGCAATGACTAGTCTCTGTAGAATATGTTCATTGGTAGTAGTGCTGCAGCTATTACACATTTATTCTCTGGGAATTTATTCATTTAAACATCAGATAGGTAAAGCCAATGTGAATTTCTCTACTAATAGCAAGCCATTTCCTTGGAACAAGCTGAGGCTTCCTGATATGGTAATCCCAATCCAATATGATCTCTGTGTCCACCCTAATCTTTCTTCTCTACATTTTACTGGACTGGAGAGGATAGAGATCCTTGTGAGAAAGGACACTAGCTTTATCATCTTGCACAGCAAAAGCCTTGAAATCACCAGTGCAGTTCTTCTGCCCAAAGATGGTTTGGAGTCCAGGAAACCAGGAAAACAGCTTCAAGTTTTAGAGCATCCTGCACATGAGCAAATTGCCCTGCAGGCTCCTGAAGTGTTAACAGCTGGTCAGCGATACCTGATTGTCATAGAGTTTCATGCACAACTGGCAGATGGTTTTGATGGATTTTACAAAAGTACTTACAAAACTCGTGATGGGGAAACAAGGTAAGGAATCTGTGTGAAGTTTTCTAGAGATACAAGGTGGGAAAGGTAATATCTTTCATTGGACCATCTTCTACTGGTGAGAGGGGTAGACACTTTCAAGCCACACTGCTCTTCTTCAGGTCTCTAGTATCTTGGGGCTGACACAGCTACAACTAAACTGTATAAAGTTTTACAGGTATTTATGCCCTGATCTCAAGGCATAAATACCTTTTGTCTTCTCTCACTATTTAATGTTAATTGGATGTCTTCCTGTGATGTGACTTGTATGAAAGCAAAGCAATTAGCCTGAGCTTTCTGTGTATGAAACTTTTAATGAAAATGCTAATTAAGAAGCAAGTGGCTCAGTGGGAGGGCCACACTGCAGACATAGGTCTGAAGTAATTGCATTGAAGTCAGTGATGGTCCACCAGTGTAAAATCAGTCGGGGGGTCTCCTTGAACAAAAAGCAGTAATAAGGGGTTTCCTCTTCAGTTGGGCTTGGGGCATGGTGTGCGTTGCTCGGCTCAGCAGTAATCCTTATGGCCCAATTACAAGTGCTATTGCTGTGAGTCTGGCTCTGTTCTCCTGAGTCAGAGGAAGAATGGCAGCTGGTATGTGATGCCTCAAAGAATTATACACTGGGGAATAATAGGTGGCTATCTGTGAGTGGTGGGGAAAGCTCTCCCTGAGCAACAATTCATTGGGGGTGCAACAGATAAAAATGATAGCAGCAAAGTTTTGTATTACTAAGTATAGGTTTTTTTATTCAAAATCCTAGGCCAAGGGTTTTTAAACGTTGGGTTGCGGCTGTAAGGGTAAGCTGCTAGCTGGCTGCGAGACGCTTTGTTTACCTGAGCATCTGCAGGCATGGCCACTCACAGCTCCCAGTGGCCGTGGCACACTGTTCCTAGCTAGTGGGAATTGTGGGAAGCAGTAGCCCAGCTTACACCACTTCCCACAGCACCCATTGGTCGGGAATGGTGTACCGCAGCCACTGGGAGCTGCATGCAACCTTGCCTGCGAATGCTCAGGTAAACAAAGTGTCTAATGGCAAACTAGTGGCTTATCCTTACAAGCCGTGACCCAAAGTTTGAAAACTCCTGTCCTAGGTCATCACTTATTTTGCAGCAGAAGAGGCACCCCATCCTCTAAGCATGCAATTTTAGGGATCACTGGGGGGCCCTGGCCTAGAACCCACACCATACCCCAAGCTGGAGTCCTCACCCTCTCTCACATCATAACCTTCTACCCTAACCTGGAGGCATCTCCCTCATTCTGAAAATCTCATTTTTGGCTCCACCTTGGAGCCTAGAGGCCCTACAAAATCTAAAACCCCGGACTCCCTGAAGAATTAATCTTACCCTGCTCATACTGAAGCAAAGTGGACAGAGATCCCAAAACATTCAAGAAAATCTATTATTTTACTGGTATTTGAGCCATATTTTAACCAATAAAAAGCATAACAGTACTGTTTAGAAACTTTATTCTTATAAACTTGCTAGATCAAGGGCTAAACCCATTGCAGGCTATGATCCAAAATTAGTCTCTCTCTTGATTTCATGTATCAGAGGGGTAGCCGTGTTAGTTTGAATCTGCAAAAGCGGTGAGGAGTCCTGTGGCACCTTATAGACTAACTGAAGTGTAGGAGCATAATCTTTCGTGGGCAAAGACCCACTTCGTCAGATGGCATGCATCTGACAAAGTGGGTCTTTGCCCACAAAAGCTTATGCTCCTACACTTCAGTTAGTCTATAAGGTGCCAGAGGACTCCTCGCCGCTCTTGATTTCATGTAAACTTGGAAATATTTTTTTCTGCATTATGTCTCACAGGATAATAGCCACTACAGATTTTGAGCCTACCTCAGCACGAATGGCTTTTCCATGTTTTGATGAACCATCTTTCAAAGCCAAATTTGCCATCACAATAAGGAGAGAGAAAAAACATATTGCATTGTCCAACATGCCAAAGGTAAGATTCTGTTAAAAGATTGGTGATACAATCACATAACAGCTCTGAATATTCAGTTTCTAATTCTTATTTTTAACTGACTAAAGTACTGGTCAGGAAATGTTTTTATTTTTTCGTGCTGAAAATGTGGGTAAAAATGAAAACAATGGTTAGGTGGCATTTTCAAGAGAAAATATCACATGTTCATCCAAAAAAAACACCCTAGAAATTTATCAACTGAAATGTTGTTAGTTTTCAGGTTTTCAGTTTTCTGATAAGAAATATCAAAACTTTTTTGAGGAAAGCAGACCCTTTCCATGAAAATACTTTAGTCAAAAATTCAATTTTTCATAGGAAAAAAAAATGTTGAAAGAAAATTTTAGACTAACCCTGTATAAAACAGAATAGAGTATAGACCAAATACAACATGGTGCTGCAAAGCCTTATGAATATATTCAACTACATATATTTTCATAATTCCGTTGAAATCAAAGGGACTATTCATATGTATAAATCTAAGCACTTACGTAAGTGCAGCAGCAGTGTACCCAGTTTGACATTGGGTTTATCCACTGCTTAGTTTACCTTCTTCCTTAGTCAATCAGATGTCCACAACTGAAGCCTTCTAATCAACTCACCTTTTGGGGGGATCTGGTTTCTTAATCTAAAACAACAGCTTAGCTTTACATTTTTCATCCCCCTACCCCAGAGTCACTAGTTCCTTCCAGCCCTTTATCACCATTTTCACAGTCCACCCTCCTTATAGGCTTCCCTCTTGGGCTTCACAGTCTCTTACAGTGCTTTCCTCCTGAGGCTTTCCTGCAATGGGCTCCCCCTTCTTGCAGGTCTTTCAGCCTTTTAAGCTAAGCCATACATTTTCCTTATGTACTGCAGTAGCGCTCCTGACTGTCACATGACCTTGCAGGACTAAAATTCCCCAGATCACTCAGGAACTGTGCCTACAATCATGCTTTTAAAAAGGAACAGTAGACTGGCTCTTGGCCACCACTACCCTTAAAGAGGAAAGACCATCCTGCTATAGCATTGGGGCCCACAACTTTAAGCTCTGTGGCACAGGGATTTTACCATTGTGTTTCCTTGTGCAGGGTCTAGAACATTGTGTATGCTCCCAGCATGTGAATAATGAATAATTTTTCCTGATGTAACTTTTTTGAATTCTGGGTTGATTTTGGCTTGCCATCCATTATTTAGTTAACTCATGGTATCAATTTATCGGTTTGTGGGAATTTTTAATAAAAGAACATTGCTTTTTTCCCTATTGCAGATTAAAACAATTGAACTCAAAGGAGGTCTGTTGGAAGATCATTTTGAAGTCACTGTTAAAATGAGCACTTACCTTGTAGCCTACATAGTTTGTGATTTTAAGTCTGTGCAGACTACAACATCATCAGGAATCAAGGTGAGTTCAGGTTTCAGCATGGCCAATAATTTAGGTTACCTTAGGGCTTGACATTATTTATTAGAGCAGTGAGGTTTACAGGCAATGAGGAGAGAGACTGAAAATGTGAAGTCATATACCCAGGAAGGGGAAATAAACAACACAGGTACAAATCAGTTGATGTAACCAAACAGTTATACTTATTGCATTAAAGCAAGTTAATTTCCAGTTTTTCTGCCTACTAACATTTATAATAAAAATTTTGCATAGTACCAAGTGCTGAGGTTGCTGCAGAGAAAGTATGTGATTGAGATGTCAGGAAAGGAATTGATCCAAATATGAAGAACTTTGGGAATCACTGCTGTAATTAATTTTCACAGGTATCCATCTACGCATCACCTGACAAATGGAATCAAGCACATTATGCCTTAGAAGCGGCAGTGAAACTACTGGAATTTTATGAGAAGTACTTTAATATTAGCTTTCCCTTACCAAAACTGGGTAAGTCAAACAACAATAATTGAATCAGAAGATTGGGGTTGGAAAAGACCTCAGGAGATCATCCCTTGCGCAAAGCAGGACCAGCTTCAACTAAATCATCCCAGCCAGGGCTTTCCCTTAAAATTTTCTAAGGATGAAGATTTCACCACTCCCTAAGCAATCCATTCCAGTGCTTTACCTCCTTCCTAGTGAAATAATTTTTCATGGTGGCCAAACTAGATCTCTCTCATTGCAACTTGAGGTGTCTCTGTCATCTGTCACCACTGAGAACAGCTTGGATCCATCCTCTTAGGAACACCTTTTCAGATAGTTGAAGGCTGCTATCTAACCCCCTCATTCTTCTCTTCTGAAGACTCAATAAGCCCAGTCCCCTCAGCCTCTCCTCATAAATCGTTAGCACTAGTCCCCTACTCAATTTCATTACTGTCCACAGGACTCTCCAATTTGTCCACATACTTTCTGCAGTGAGGTAGGGGCAAAACTGGATGCAGTACTCCAGATGTGGCCTCAGCAGTGCCAAATAGAGGGTAATAATCACTGCCCGCTATCTCAGCGGTGGGCAATAATTTTTTGCTGGGGGCCACTTCAGAAATTTTTGAAGTTACCCCGGGCTTCACTATAAGGGTGGGGCCTCAGGTGGAAGGGGCAGGGCCAGGATATTTCCCTGCTTCCCCACCCACAGACCATGATAGGTCTGGGTGTGGCAGAATGCGTTTGCTCCCTCCCAGAGGTTCCTCTAGGCACCCATGGCCCTAGGGGTGGGAGGAGACTTCACGTCTTCTCTCTTCTGCCCCCCAGGCCAATCAAGGCTTGGGGGTGGGGGAGAACGCAAAGCTCCTCTTGCCCTGCCAGGAGCGCATGGCACTTCTAAGCACTGCATTCTCCTTGAAGGGTGGGGGCAGGGTGGAGGAAACTTCATGTGCTTACCCCTGCCCCTCAGGCCTTAATTGGCCAGGGAGCGGGGAAGCGGCAGGGCCTCTGTAGGCCATATCACCCTGTTTGGTGGGCCAGATCTGGCCCACCCCTGCTCTCTCTGCTGGCAATGCTCTTACTAATGCAGCCCAATATATTATTATACTTATTGGCAACAAGGGCACATTGTTGACTCATATCCAGCTTCTCATAGACTATAATCCCCACTTCCTTTTCTGCAGAGCTGCCACTTAGCCAGGCGGTCCCCTGCTTGTAGTAGATCATGGGACCCATCCGCCCTAAATGCAGGACTCTGCACTTATTCTTGTTGAACCTCATCAGATTTCTTTTGGCTCAATCCTCCAATTTATGTAGGTCACTCTGAACTCTCTTCCTACCCTAAAGTGTATCTACCTTTTCCCCAGTTTAGTGTCATCTGCTGAATTGCTGATTACAGTCTATATATAACTCTTTCAGTGACAAAATTGGTTTAATTTCTTCTTTCTCTCACAAAACTGAGTGAGCAATTCAAAATTGTATTTTAGCTACAAAAGGCCAACATGTTATTTGAAAGATTGTTTTGAAATAGAGTGCGTATGGGTTTCTGCATAGTTTGTCTGAAATCAAAATGTTTTTCCTTATGAAAGCAAAATTCTCTGAGATGTACCCTGGATAAACCTGAAAGCCTTTAATTAACAATGTAGCTTGACTATGTGAGAATAATCAAAATACAAGATTTGTGCAGAATATTGGAGTGGGAAGTTATCCTCTTGAAATAAAGGAGCAAATGAAAGAACTTGGAGAATCTGAGATTCCATTACAGCATAATATCGTTTATGTGAGTGCCCGGGAAGACAAATGAATAGATTATCTAAATTGAGGCAATTTTCAGTGTAGTTAATAAACTGTAGCACACTGGCCCCTGTTTCAGTTAACTAGCTGTTTCCAGTAATTGAAATTTGGCTAATCAGATTTTTACTGTATTTAAAAAATCCTCCTGTTGTGTCCCTAGTTGTGGCAACTTCATAAATCATGGTCGCGAGTCTTGCTAAGTACATAAGTATGTGTCCAATCCTGCAAATGCTTACTCTTGAGAATAGAGTGGCAGTGTCCAAACTTTACCTCTTTTGCTCCCTCTTTCTAGGGTTGCCAGATGGTTTCAACAAAAATACTGGATACACTTGACATTACATCACAATTACATTACATCTTATTTAGAAAATACCGGACATTTATATTTTCTCAATTTATTTCCCAAACAGAAAACTCAAATACTGGACTGTCTGGTTCAAAACCGGACACCTGGCAACTCTATTTACCACTAAGGGAATGTGTCTGCATTCCCTGGGCTGGGACCAGTGCCCAAGAGTGGGAGTCAGGGTCCTATGGCCAAGAGCAGGAACCGGAGGGCCAAATGGTGCTGGATGGCTCTGCTGCATCCCTGGCCATTCCTAGAAGGGTGCACTCCACAGATTGGGGATCCCTGAAATAGAGGTTTCTAGAATTATACTGAGCTCTGTGTAAAACCTGAGAGGAATTCTTTGGGTTCAGTCTCTTCTTTGATTGACCCACAGCAGTGATCAGGAGTAACTTCACAGGGAGTCCTTTGTGACTCCCAAGTGTATGGTTTCACAGCATGTGACTCAGCATTTCAACTCTGTTGTGCTCTTTCATAATTAAAATAGTTTAGGGTTTTTTTTAAAGACTATTGTACCACAGTGCAATTAACCATTAAATCAGGATTGGATTTTCCAAAGGGAAAGCAATGCTGAAATCAAGTAAATAATGAATTCAGAACCATATTCTATCAACAGACACTGAAAAATTACAGAAGAACATGACGCATGAGAGGATCTCTTCCTCTCCCTGCCTGCAAGAGCTATGGAGACAGAAAACAACTCTGAAGAGCAACCAGAGCAAAGTGACAGGGAGAGGCAGACCAAAGAGATTCAGCAGCAGAAGTACTCAGAACAAGGGCAGCCTTTAGTTAGCATTTTAC